TAATAGTGTTTGTAAATAGGATATCATGTCTGCATCTTGTACAGCAAATAACAGTGGGAGGCCATTAACTGGTATCCATTTTATAATAGTGTCAGCCATTTTCTTAAGTTTCTATTCCCCTGCTAAGTTAAATTTATGGTCCTTCTCACCTTGCCCATTCCCTTGAATCATGTGCTATGCCCCAGGAGTTGCACCTTCCCCCGTTGCCTAGATACCTGCCAACCCCAAGAAAAGAGACTTCCTCATTCCTACACCCCCTATATATACCCAGCACCTCCCCTGAATAAACTGAGACTTGATCAGAATCCTGTTTTGTCTCCGTTCTTTGTGTCTCCTGTCCTTTGTCCCCTCTTCAATTCCCCACTCCTCCCCCAGGTGACCTTCATTGACTGACCCGCTGGTTTGGGACAAATAACCACTAGGAAGAGAGTATGTAATGTGTTAATTATTGAAGCTGTCATACCAATTTGATTTGAAACTGGCTCATTGCTATTTGTCTCTCAATAAAGTTACAGAAAAAAAACAATGAAGACTCAGATATAGGATTTAATGTTTTTAGACACATTCTTATTAGTAAGATGCATTTAAAAGTCATGTTAATTTTTAAATTTTAAGTTAAATAAAATCTTATTCTTTTCCTCTAAAGGAAAAAAGAGCCAACACATGATTTATGAAGGATTAGCATATAAACTTCTCACAATGAGAGTTCCACATGTTGCATGTCATTTTTTGTAAAATGTGAAGCCCTCTCCTACCAAAACCTCCCCAAAAGAACAGACTTGTTTGCCCTCCAATGCATGTCAGATTTTTAATGCACTGGTTCTAAAATTCATGATATTTTTAGAGCAAGACACCACACAAAGTCCTAAATAGTCCACTAATGAAATACAAACTTTCCCCTAACTCCGGTCCACCATGCGAGAAACTAGGTAGCAAAGTAGCATGACTCACACTCTCCTCTGGTGTCCCCAGGCTGCTCTCTGAGGCCCCTTCATAGGAAGACGCTCCTGGGTATGGAACACTGACAACAGCACCTAAGCGAAAACAAAAGCACATGTGTAAATTCAGTCCTTCGTTAAGTCAAAACTCATGCCAAGAAATTAGGAATTGACTTCAAAAACTACTCTTAAAAACCTTTGCTTTTTCATACTGGAAATTCAGTTCATTTTAACCTCAAGACACATTTGCCATGGGTCTTCTCAGAGCAAAAAATATAACTCTCCACAAGCATTTTTTTTATGTCAAGCTAGATACTGGGGATATAAAAAAGAAGTTTCTCTTCTCAAGTATCTATACTATAGAGGAAAAGTAGGTGAAAGTTAGCTGTGTTTTGCTAATCATTAAAACTGCACCAACATGCTATTCTATTTTTGTATATGATTGAAATTTCTAATAAAGAAGCTTGTATTTTATAATGAAAAATAAAGAAAAAACCTCCAATCCACCAGGCATACAATGTTAAAGGTACACATAAACTATATCACAAAATTCAATCATAAAAACCCTTACTCTGAGAAATTCCATAACACAAATGACAAATAATTATCATTAAAAATTCCACTTTTTGACATAAGCCTTAAAATAATTTATTAGGTTGTCCTTTCATTTTTAAGGCTGTGCTCTGTCTTGCAATATAATTGACAAAGATTTTGAGTATTCACAACACAATGCAATAAAATAAGTAAAAATAATTACTTTTTCTCGAGATTTTTGAAAAAATATATAAAAAGAACTGTTTAAATATGCATAGAAAAATTACACTCATTGAATATTTTTTTAAATCATAAATAACTGTTTTAAACAGTGAATAAAGGCACAAAAGTATACCTTGCAATGTGGAAGTGTCACCAGTAGGAACTGGAGATGACAATCTAAGTCTGCAAAATCAAAAAATGTTTGCAGTTAATAAAAAGAAACATAAGGACTTACAATGAAATATAGGATTTGTTTTCCAAAGGGAAATCACTAGACCATCAAGTGTTCCAAAGTATCAAGTACAAAAGTTTTTAACAATTATAACTTTAGGGTTCAGATAGTTCAGTGGTCTAAGCACCTGCATGGAAAGTGCAAAACCCAGATTTGATCCCCTCTACTGCATGCAATCTTGCCCCAAAACCCTGGCTCGCCCTGCTGGCCACAGAAACCAGCCATGGTGGCAAACACCTGTAATCCCAGTGCTGGGGAGGCTGAGACAGGAGGATCACTTAAGAGTCCAAGCTGTATAGCAGAACCCTGTACCAGAGAGAGAGAGAGAGAGAGAGAGAGAGAGAGAGAGAGAGAGAGAGAGAGAGAGAGATATTTTTAAAAAGGAGTTCAGTTGTATATAGATCGGAATTTGCAATATCCACTACGGACTCGGGCAGAGGTATAATACCTGATATTATATGATATAATAATTCATCATAAACATGAATTGTTTGCCAATTTAATATGATATTGCCATTAGTTTGTCAGAAATGGCTTTTATCAGATTGAAATCATGTCCTTCTACATTTATTTTTGGGGGTTTTATCAGGAATAGATATTGTACTATATCAAAACCTTTTTCTTTATCCATTGAGATGACCGTGTGTTTCTTGTTCTTGTATTTATGTGACGCATTGCATTTATGTGTGTAAAACCATCCTTGCATACCTGGGATGAAGGCACCCTGGTCATGATGTAGGATCTTTTTAGTTAGTTGAATTCTGATTGCCAATATCTTGAAGCTTTTTGCATCTATGTTCCTTAAAGAGATTGGCCTATAGTTTTCTTTTAAATTGGGTTACTTGTGCATTTTTTTTAGAGTCTCATGCTTCATTTTAATGATGTTATACATGTTCCAAGTGATTCACATTTAACATGGAAGAAAAACTACATGTGAACAAAACAGTGGCTTCTGGGTTTATCCTATGCATATATGTGTATACTCATATCTACAAATACATGTTACTCATATTTTCTTTTTAAAGAATACAAAATAGTGATAGAAAAATCAAACAGCATTAGAAACAATACAGGATTTCACTAAACAAAGTAACAGGAATTCAACAATGATCTTCACTATCTTGAACATTAAGGGAAGACTGAGAACTAAAACAATTCTTGAAAATTAGTATTTTTTTAATATTTCCACTTATTTTATTCTTTTTTTTCTTTTCAAAGTTTTATTGATAAACATATAGTAATGAGACAGTTTCAAATCAAATCAAAAGTACAGTTTCAACAAATAATACACTGCATACATTCTTCTCAGTGGTTAATTGCTGCACAAGATGCAGACCTGTGATCCTACTTACAAACACCATTAGAAAAAATCATTCTATTCATTAAGAGAATGCAACTAT